AGCAATACTGGATAAAATGTGCTACAAATTCCCTCTTGATATCTCTCCAGCAGTGGCAACAATCAAACTCTTTAGGGGCACATGACTCAGGAGGATAAGGAGTCTCATTTCCTACACAGTAAGGCTCAGCACAGATAGAATTTTCTAGATAATCTTTAAAGAGACACCTTAAAAGTTCAGTTTTCTTCCAAGAACTCATTAATAAATAACTTTCAGATTCATTCCAAGCCAGACCCAAAAAAAAAAATTGGAAAAAGAGTTAAAAAGAAATGACATTTAACTGTGAAGCTAATTTAATGCTCCAACTAAAAATCAATAGTCATGTAAATCAATTTTGACAAAGGCAAGGCTGATTTCTACCCAATTTATCTCCTCATAGACCTTTCTAATCAATATACATTATCCTTAAAAATACATAGACGACCTTGCACACGTGAAGAAAAGTTCAGTTTGAACTGACTTAGCTATCAGTATGCTAATGAGAGTCTGGGGGAACTGCAACAAGCCTGCTGAGCAGGAAGGCTGCTTAAAATGACATCGGTCATCCTCCTTGACAAGGCTGGTCCTGCCAGCTTCTGTGAAAGATGAAATAAAATAACAATAAAACTGTCTTTTCTTAAAATGTAAGCAAGCATGAAGGGTCAGATGCCAAGCAGTAGTCCTGCATAGCGAAGGCCAGTGGTAAGGAAAGAAAACAGCAACCGGCAGGACGTGACTCTTCGGGGTGATTTCTAGTCCCATACGTAACAAATCTCTGCATGCACTAACGTTCCAGCTCCTAAGGAGAAATTTTTTAAAAATCCCATAAACACAATGCTGACAAGGATCCTGGTTTTGGGCTCTGAAGCTCATTGCTACTCTCTCCTCGGGTCCTCACTCTATCTGACTTTCCATGACCCCATGGCAGGCAAGAGAGCATACAGTTAGACTTGCCCTACTACGGACTACCAGAACACCCAGGCAGTACCAAGCTTTCTGGTTTAAGCTTCTGGCGAGCAACAAAAAAGAGAGACACCCATGCTGCTTGGAAGACATTGGGTCTCCCAGTCTGGCTTGAGGAGTACTGGCATGGAAGGAACTGGCAAAGCTTACGAAAGTCTGATTCGGAGCCACGTTTGCTAAGGTTCCAAATAAACCTCACTTTTGTCAATAACGTTAGCTGTTTAATCATTTAACATTTAGTGTGCGTGCATGTGTGTTTAGAGACTTTCTTTGGATTGCTGGAGGTCGGTGTTCTCATGATTTAGAGGATGAACCACGACTGCTTTGGAAGCTGGGACTACCAACTGGGCTCTGACATATTAGCAGTGACCTTCCTGGTTTTGGAGGGCCTGCTACTTATGACTCTCGAGTTCACTAACCCCCAGCCCAACTCTGCTGAGACATATGTATCAACAGTTCTTAGCAGACACTGTCAGTTCCAAACTCACATTCGGTCGGAACCCCTATCCTGTCCCTTTCAAAACTGTAGTAAGCCTTCAAACCGTGGTTCTCAGTCCGTTCAATTCCGTCCTGCCACAGAGCATGGCTGATGAGCTAAAGAGCTGGTGCAAGTCGTGACAGCTGGCCGCTTCCAGCACAAGCTCACGGTTCTTGGGAAAGGACAAGAAAATTCAGGTTCACATTAGGAGTAAAAAAGGGAGCCAGCCTTGCACTTTGGGTATTGGCCATGGCCACAATACAACAAATAGTTACAATTTCACATTACAGTCGTTCTGACCTTGAAAGCATAAGGTGCTCCCACTTACACTTGCCGTCTTATACGTGGACGACAGTGACTGTAAACTGCACTTGACAGCTGATCTCCCTCATTTTCTACCTGCTTCTAGGCAATCCTTTTGGCGCAGGGTTCTACCATTTAAATCGTCTGCTTATAAAATGAGTAAGAGGTCCTTCTCTGGGTTCTGTAGGAATCAAATCTGCTGGGACTTTACTGGCATACAGCCGACATTTCCTTAGATAGCTCTGCATCCAAGAAACAACTCTCTGAATATCTTCTCCTTGAATCCAAATTTACTTCCTAAGTTTCAGGAGGAAGTAGTAAGCTCCATGACTATAGAGAAAAGCAGCTCCTTTTAGAAGCCATTTGGGCTGAATGAGAAGAGCTGGTGATGTTTCCCATGGGACACTGGAGGATTCCATGTCAAAGGATCTGGCCAGGCTTGACTACCTCATGCCACCCTCCGTTATCCTTACCCGTCCGTCTGCTGTTTTTGCTGCCAAGTCAGCTGTTACAACATCGGAGGTATTCAATAAATATTTGTTAAAAGCGAAAAATAAGCAGATATTTAACACATTCTGAGGATCAACACTAAGTCCTTAAGAACTTGTACAAGGTAACAATTAAAAAGTGAGGTATCGATTAGGAAATTAATTATGGTACATATTCGTGTTTAATGAAATCTTTTTTTTTTTTTTTCGAGATAGGGTTTCTCTGTGGCTTTGGAGCCTGTCCTGGAACTAGCTCTATAGACCAGGCTGGTCTCGAACTCACAGAGATCCGCCTGCCTCTGCCTCCCGAGTGCTGGGATTAAAGGCGTGCGCTACCATCGCCCGGCTTGAAATCTTAATCAAAATTTTGCCTAGAAGGTAATCAGTATAACCTCTGTGTGCCTTGAGAATTGTGGCACGCTTCTATAGCTGGTGCTGTTGTGCAGGAGCATGCCAGGGGAGACGGTACTGCTGGATCATATGATTACACGGATTTCATCCCTTGAGGAAATGTTGGAAATTATATATGTGCTTGGCATGACGTGATCAGAAAAACGTGATTCCCTCACAAAGACTGGTTTTCAAAAAAGTCTATTCTTCAATCTACTAAAAGAAAAGAGACAATTGTATTTTAAATAATTGATGGGGGGACTTAAAATGGCCTTTGATTTCTTTTTATCAATGAAAATTAAAAAAAAAAAGAAAGATAAAGGGGATGAGGCTGATTAGGCCAGTTGATTTACAAATCATTTTGGCCAGGAGTACAGCTGGGAATCAAATCTTGAAAACAATAGGGTCTGGAGCATTGGGCTTTGCCATTGATAGCACAAGGCTTGGGAGCCGTGCACACAAAGACTCTGATTGGTTAGATACACCATGCAATGCAACAGCTGTAGGTCTTATCATTGTGCCTCGGTGCAAAGACTTAAAGAGGCTCGACACAGCTGCATCCTCCCCTAGGGAAACAGAAAGAACTGTAGCACTGGCCTTACACGGGGGCAGTTTTTTATCAAATAGAAGGTCTATTATTGGGAAGAATGATCCAGAAGAATCATTGTATTCTCAACTTTTACTGGGAAAGGAAGACACAGGAGATAATTCCTCACTAGTATTATTTGTAACTTTAACCCAGTATTTTCTATCAATTGCTTTCAAATTTTTTCTTCTGTATTTTTATATCAACTGCAACCTGATTGTTCTGTAGGAACAAACTATCCAGTACTCCTTACTAGCTACTGGCTAAAATCTGTCCCACTCTAGGGTATGGGACATGTGTATTCTGTGCGTGTGTGCAGCACAGATAAAGTATGTAGAGTTTTAGTTGTTGTTAAAATAGGTAGCCTGTACCTAGTATGATTTGCAAGAGATGTCTGTGGATGACTTAGGTATGTAAAATATTGGAATGGCGGCTCTCATGCTTCGAAAGGTGATTATCCTTAGCAGAGTGAGACTTTCTATCCCCACTGAATAGAGAGAGGAAGGAAGTTCTGTGTTTGAAGTGTCCTTTTGGGGAAAATAAAGCTGCAGAAGAGAAACCAAGCCAAATACACAAAGGCAGGACCCAAGTCTTGTAAAAACGAAGCTGGACTGAAATATGTATATCTAAGGGTTCAGGGATTGGACTGCCATGACCCCCTTCAACTCTACCCTAGTCAGGGTTGCCCTGTGCCTCCCCACTCTCTGTCCTAAGAACAGCCCGAGAGTGCCTCACGAGTCCATACTTCCAGAGGTTGGAACGGTCAAGCATTCCTTCCTTTGCTTGAATGAACAACAACAGCCTATTGTCATTTCCTCCGAGTACCTGCTCTTTAGATTGCGTAGGCGGGGGTCAGGGAGGCTGGAGATCAAACACTACAAAAGGCAACACTACAGGAAACTCTGGTCATACTAGCATAGTCAGAGCATGCGTCCATCACAGCAGCCCCACCAATCCAACACAAAGAGCCGCCTGCCCCCACTACGACTTTCTAATGTTAGTAATAATTAGTGTTGGTTTGGCCTTGAGGTGTTGGAGAAGTGGGCAGGAACCAACTCCATAAGCAAACACCCTTTCACCATATCAAGTTTAAAGAGAAACTTCTCACGGGAGGACTCCGAAGCCCATTGACATTTGGGCAAATGAAATAAGTTATGAGGAATTGAAATCTGTAAGATATCAAAATGCCCAAGTCTAGGAGGCATAGAAAACATTAGGGATACAGCTACTACATAGCAGGGCATGTCTCTATCTTAAATAGTACATAGCAGGGCATGTCTCCATCTTAAATAGTCGTAAAACACGTAAAATGATATCAAAGCAATAGGATGTCAAAGCTGGGAAATGGGCTCAGCATAATCATTGTGTTGGGGGAATGCTAGTGCTTGTGCTATAGTTATGTAAGCTTACAGGAAAAGAGGTTGCTCAGAGTCCTCCCGGGCACCAAGCAGGCAATACAGCGGAAGGCAGGGCATGTGTCCTTTGTCTTTACTAAGCAGGAGAACATGAAAGTATGTTTCTTTTCTATGCTTTCTCTTTACTAAGCAAGAGAACGCTAGGTTGCTGCTTTTGCAATGCATTATGGACTGTGGGACTAACTGTCCTCGGCAAGACCAAGAAAAACGCTTCAGGAAAGTCAGGCCTCATGAGTGCGTGAGTGCAGGCCTGCCTTCAATCAGCTAGCGGCTAAGTGGAAGGCTCATGACATGGTTTTGCTTTTGTAGAGATGCGTTGATCACGGTGTAGAATAGATTGGTTTCTGAGGCTGTGCTCGTCTGGTCCCCCCCCCCCCCCCAGCCTCCTCTGTGTTACGGAGTTAGGTCCTCAGAGCGGTGAAGAAAAACAGGCCATTTTCCTTCGCGCCACTGGAAGGATCCTCTACCTCTGTTGTATGAACCTCACAATAGTCGACTTTTTTATAAGTAAAAAGTTTTGATTTCAAAGCGTTCTGAGACCCCACCCCACGCGAGGTACCGGGAAGGGGCACTAAAGTGCATTTTGATGGAGGGGGTAGAGTTTAAAGGTGCAGTCAAAGCTAATAAACAAGATGACACTGTTTAAAAAAGAAAGGCAATACCATCTCTCTCAGCCGAGGGGAGGGCAGCGAACTGGACCCTCACCAGAGGATTGTCCTGACTCTGAACTTTAGAGAGAACTGCGTAAGGACCTGCGCATATATATATAGACTCATTTGTCCCACATAGCAAAAATAGGCCTATGTCATCCTTAAGAAAGAATCTGCAAATCTGCTTAGTCAGGATCATAAAAACGTGGGCGGATTCCAGGTGCAATCCTCGTGGGCATGCTCTGTGGTGCTAGCTAACGCAACGGCAGCTTCAGTGAGCCCGCTGTTCATTTTCTTCAAAGCGTGACTTCTAAACTACCGGAAAGAAAATACACAAGAAACGATTCAATCTTTTTTTTTTCTGACAATCATTACTTTTACATTAAAAAGTCACCACCATCTTCAGATATATCGAAAATTAGGTCTCTAAATCTGATTATTTTTCTAGTCTTAGTTAACAATCTTGCACAGGCCCGACAATCTAAGACGTGGAGCTATGGTCTGCACAGCTCGGCAGGTTTCGCCCAGTTTGAAAGGTAGGCAACTGTGAGATATGCGTTTTTTTTTTTTTTAATTTAGCATTTTTCTATCAAAAACAGTTCAAAATCGTTCAAAATCCCCATAGCGACTTTGATTTATTTGTGTCACGCCAGAGTTGGGAAGCTAGAAAGGAGAAAAAGAAATCGTGTCTGGAGGTCATCACAGTCCACATTTTCTTGGTCTTCCGGTTAAACAAACGAGCCCAGGAAATGCAATACAGTGCCTTAAATAGAAGACTCGGTGCTCTAATAGAATAATCTAAGCAACTAAACGGGGACCGTCTCCACCACGGGGGACTTAATGCACTCCTCGTGCAGGCGGCTCTTTTCGGCAAGGCTCAGAGAATTCTCCGCTGGATGCTCGGAAATGTGGCCGTCCCCGCCGTTCAACGCGGAGACAAACCCTTCCTGGGAAGGGCCTTTCAAGTATGAGTGAAATTCCACTTGGGGAAGATTGGGCCTGTGTTCGGGGTATAAGGTGTTACAGGGCACCCCACTATCATTTTCAGAAGTGGGGCAGCAAACAATGACAGAAGGGTTGGCAGCTGGGTAGTGGGAGGCCCCGTAGGCCTCTTCCGCTTGTCTGGCATAGTCAACGAATCGCTCTGGGGTCATGGCGTAAGGCACCAGCGACAGGGCACCGTTTTTGACAGTATCTCTTTCCGAATAGCTGTCAGAGATCTGGCTAGGAGTTCCTGGGATGTGGCTATCTATTTGGTAGTACAGGGTTGAAGAGCTAGCGTAGAACGAAGCGTTCTTTGTGTGGCTTTCATGAACTGCGGTGCCATCCGAGTAACAAAGAACAGAAGGAAGAGGGACGACTTCAGCATGGGCTCCCAGCCCTTCTACAAAGCCGTCTCCCTTGTCCTCATCGTCATCTTCTTCCTCCTCTTCCTCTTCCTCCTCCTCCTCCTCTTCCTCCTCATCCGATTCACTGGGGGCCAGGCTTTGTGTGCTGGAGTCAGTGACTCCGCTGCAGAAGCTGCTTCCATCCTCCTCCTCTTCCTCCTCCTCTCCGTGGCAATCCAGCTCCTCCTGCAGGTGCAGCACGGCAGCCTGGGGTTCTGTTTCGATCTCGAAATTGTCTGCGATGGAGTATTCTACCGAGTGAGCGACGGGGCCCATGGAAGTACCGTGGGGGCTTATCTCACCGTGGCAGCCGTTCAGCGTGGGGATTTGCTGCTCGCGATTTTTCTCGAGTTCGAGTTTCATGATTGTGTGCAAAAAATGAGTCCGGACACGGATAGGATTAAATTCAATTCTACCTGCTGTGTTGCTACAGCCTTCTTTAGTGCAGCCGCACGGGAAAGACATACGATCCACCTTGGGAGGAAGAACAGGGATTAGCGCCATGGAATTATTACAGACCAAATAAAATCAAGGGCTTTCTAACAACTCCTCTGAATTGGGTAATGCTCTCGAGCTCTGCTTGTGCCACAGCCGATGATGAAACAAAAAATGAGCAGGGAGAGTGAAGACTTTTCAATGAGCGGGTCTTAAATGCATCTTTAAAAGAGCGGTGGGCTGAGGGTATAAGTGAGAATTTAAATTTCATTGCATCCTCCAGGGCTTTCTTATTTTCCACTATCTACTTTTCCTTCTCTTTTTCCATTTCATTTTTTTCCCATTTCACAACCCTGGTTCCCTTCCATCGCATTCCAACACGTCCACCCACTTTTAAGTAACACATAGACTGTTCTTCTTTAGGCTGCTGGTCTAATTTAACATCCATGAAAGGATAGCCAAGCCACTACGTTCATTCTTTTGCATCTAACGAGATGACCTTCACTACTCCAGGTACTTCACTACCCAGGGCCACACAATGCCACCCTGCTATAGTCTCATTGCTTTGTCTTCTCAATGGGTCCTTATGTTGCAGAATATTTGTGCACTGTGTGAAGATGTGTTGCTGTGAATGGTGTAATAAAAAGCCAAATGGTCAATAGCTAGGCAGGAGAGGATGGGCAGGACTGCCAAGGAGAGAGAGGAAGAGGAGGAGGAATCTATGTGTGCGGGACTTGCCAGCAAACTTGGAGCAAGTTGGACGTGCTGTCCTGAGGAGCGGTAACTGGACCACACGGCAGAACGTAGATTTAAAATTATGGGTTAGTTAAGTTATAAGCGATAGTTGCACAAAGCTAAAGCTAAGGCCAAGATTTCATAATGAATAATAGATCTCCGTGATGTTATCTGTGAGCTGGATGCCCAAAGGAAAGTCAGAATACACCCTTGACACATGGATGCACGTCTCTTGACCTGTTTCTCACTTAAGACTAGAAGCCCAACTCAGATGGATTTACTTTGTGCCAATAAATGCAACAGTAGGGTATCAGAAGGCCTGTAAGCTGAAGAGCAGCCCAGGCAACTTAGTAAAACCCTTTCTTGCAAGAATATAGTTTTCAAATATATGCTTAGTGGGGGTAGAGCACTTGCCGATTGTGTCTGCGAGGCACCATACTCAACAGAGAAAGGAAACCGAGGGAGGGAATAGAAAAGGCAAATGTGTCTTCATCCTTTGCTCTCAGTTGCTTACGTAAACGAATAAAGCTATTCCTGCATTAAGTAAGAGCAAGTACCCAATAACAGGACTCCTCTGAAATGTAGGTGGACAGGAGCAGAGAATCACCTTGACCAGGAATTGGTAAGCTATTGCTTTTCTTTTTCATCAGGCTTAACTTTGAGGTTTTAAACAGTGAAATCAGCAGGTGAGGCTCGTGAGGCTGTTTCCCACTGTTGTCCACAAGTCTGAGGCTCTGTGGAACGAGACAGACTTTTCACTGTTCAGGAGGATATTCCCAGAGAGCAAAAGTCCTCTCTTGCTCGATTGTTCCTCATATTCCTCAAGCCAATCTTGGTGCCACAATAAGACAGACAACTGTTCTTGTTAAGGAAACTGTAGCTGTCCTGAGTCAATGCTGTACATGGTAGCTTTGCTTTATTTTTATTGAATACACAAGAGACCATTTGGGGTTTTACAGTTATGTCATCTCAGTACTTTGAAGAATAAAACTGATCACAAGTAACGGATAAACACAGGGGTTGGTCCCCAGTAGACCTTGTTTACAAAAGTGTGTCTGGTGAGATTCCACTGTGAGTTTAACAGCATCTCAACCTGTTCGCTATAGAAATGACATGGAGCGCAGGGTTTCCCTGGAAACCCTACTCCAGACAAGGTAAGAATGCAGTTTAGTCTGTTAAGGTCTGTCTGACCAGGGACTTCTCCAGTAGTCCATATCACTGGTGATGAATTATTACTTTATATCCCGTGTATGGACCAGAAAGTACGCATTCAAGTGGAGAAGATGGTGTCCTCTCCCATGTGAGAAAAAAGCTAAAATAAGCTGATGTAACGACAGAATCTGGGAGGAAATGCCTCAACAAACTCAGCTGCAGTTTGAGCTTCCATTTACACTATACATATTATGCATGAGCATTTTATGAATGCCCTTGAATTGTTTTTTTTTCCCCCCTTGAATTATGTGTCTTTCCTCCCCAGCCCAATTCTCCAGGTTAAAGAAAAAAAAAAAAACTTAATATACCCAACATGACCGCTTCTTTCTGGAGTGACATGGGACATGGCTTCTTCAGATGCTCTGAAACGCCAATCCTTACCTGACACTTAATGCCTGCCAGGCTGCAGGTACATGTTTCTGGGTCACAGCACACTCTGCAGTCGCAGCCACAGTCTTCCCGAGACAAGCGGATGGCTCGCAGCTCGTGTTTCTCTTCCACGTCGATCTTCTTCACTCCAGAGGCACGCAGCAGGGCTCTCCGTTTTTTTGTGGGCAGGGGTTGTAGGAAGAAGTATTCGTCTACTTCTGTGTTGTCTAAATCAATATCATCGTCGGAAATGTCATCGACTGTCAGAGTGCTCGCTTCTTCAGACTCCACTGTGCCATTCTTAGTCATCTGGAGGCAGAAGGGAGTAAACAAGGATGTCATTTGGGCAGAGGCCAAAATCCCCACTTCAGTGTGGGTGAGGATGAGCTGAGCTGTCGCGTGCTGAGTCTGCACCCACAGAAGTCAGAGGAAAGGGAACAGCGATGTCAAAACAGTTGGCTTTTTAAAAAGCTCTGCTCACAGACAATGGCTGAATGCAACTCTTTACCCCCTTACGTCAGTGACTGCGGTTACAGCTTGAGAGGCCAGAGTGTGGACCGAGCAGAGGTTACAAGACAGCGCTGTCTGAAAGCTGAGTAGCTCATGGTGACATCTCTGATGTCAGAGGAAATGTGCCCTGCATCAGAGCTGACAGCATCTCAGTGGGAGCCATCACTACCTTACTCAGCAAATATCATGTCCTTGGAATAAGATGTCCGTCTTCCAGGCCCCAGCAAAGTGCACATCAGGACCCAGGGTTGCACTGTGCCAGGGTCACAAACACCGGTTATTATCCAGAACACTCCAAGAAGAGACACTTGATAGGCATAATGAGCCAGGTCAGCATGCTCTCAGTAGAACAAGGACATAGACTAGTGCTGGCAAGGACTCATCAGTCCGCCACTGAGACAATAAACCGGGTTCTTACAGGAGTGCGTGCAAACCCCAGACCAAAGGTTTGCAATCCGCTCAGTAGCTCTTGTGCACACTCTTTCTTTCCTTGGCTACTCATGATGGCTGTGCCTACTTATATTTCTTTTCTATATTAATCTCATCCACCAGTAAGCCCTGGGTATATATTTCATTTGCTATTATTATAAATACACCGAGTGTTTCCTACATACAAAACATTTAGAAGTTTTCCTCAATCATGAGCAAAATATTGTGTGTGTGTGTGTGGGGGGGGGGCAGCCCAGTAACAAAAGCAGAAACTTCATAAGAAATAAACCATGCGAGTTCTAAATATGGAAGGTATTTTTAATTATTTAATTTATTGCCTTCCAAATTTCATTAATTATGGCTATTACTATGCATGATGATCTTGACAACTCATCCATTAGACAGTGAAAATACTCTAGAGACATGAGGCGTTTTGCTCTCATCTTTATAAAAGGAGTCCATATTTAGGGAGAAATAGTTATTATTGGACAGCAGACTTGCATTGTCCAACTCTGTAGTGCAGAGCAACACTAAAAAAAAAATAAGCGTACCCCAAGATACATTGCAAAGTTCATACTGCTTGTACTGTAAAATGTGGCCTGAGTTCTGTCACTGACAACTGTGAGCATGGGACTTTCCTCTTGAGCAACTGTGTAAATGCGTTCACACTCACTGTGGGAATAAAAGCACTACACCCTGCCTTAGAATGATAGAATCCAAGCATTTCAATTTTACAAATGTGGACCCACTGACTGGTATTAGTAAGTCATTTCAGGAGGTCAGTTTGCATATCGAGACACACCAGAGACACACGACACAGGACTGTGAGAATCAGAGGTGGTTTGACAATCTTTGAGTCAAATTCAGGGTGCTCAGAGAAAAAATAACATTCAGTTTCTTTTTTTCTTCCATCTTAATTGTTGATTTAAATTTCTGTTTCCCCACAGCTTACTTTGTTTTTATTATTGAGAGTTTCAGACTGATGATTTGAAATTATTGATATTTCCATGTATATAATAGGTTTTGAACATACCCATCACCATCCTTGCCCCACCAAATTCCTTCTCTATCTCGAGACCTTTCCCTTTCCAACTTGATGTAATCCTTCTGCCTTTTTCTCTTAAACCCATTAAGCCCATTCACTTCAACATGTACATGCATGGGTATACAATCAGCAGCAGCCTTTCAACTTTATTTTTACCTCATTCCAAAAGCAGATATAGTCTACTGCCAAAGCATTTTATGGTCCAGGCAGTATGATGCAGATAAATACATACAAATTAAAAAATATATAATGTAAGAGAAAAATCATCATAACAAATTACAGGATGATTACTCATCACGTCTAAGGCAGTAGGGAAATCTTCACCTTTAACTGCCATTTATTTCCATTCAATTTCATTGTTTATAACCAAGAAATGGGTTGAATCCATGATTCCAATAAGCTGGACAATATGTAGGCTAATGAATGCACTGTGCTCTAGGAAATGTATGGTTAAAACTATTGGTGTCAGTGAGCACACCAAACAACCAATTCAATGCAAAATGGGTATGGTGAGAAGAAATGATGAAAATATGAATGAATTCAAATGTTAAAAAGAAAACCGAAAAATAAGATCACTTCAATAAAGCACCTAAATGGTTTGTCTAGCAATAGAATGTTCTCGTCCTTAGAATATCACTAACACATGAAGATTACCGTGGGAATATGACTGAAAACTCCTATTCTAAAGCACCAACTGCCGTCCAGCACATTAAGGATGCTGCTCCTGAGAGTGAGCTGAGCTGTTGCATGTTCAGCATCAAATATGGAATTCCATAATTATCTCAATTCATGGACAACATAGTAATTATTTTATACTTGGAACAATTGGTGCTTGTAAAAGGTGGTTTGTCCAAGTCTAGCTGAGTGACTGATGTTATTCACAATCAACCTGGAGGGTTATTCGACCCCAAAATCTTTCCAGATCATCAAGACTAGTTTAGAGAGAAAATCTTTTAGAGTAATGTTAGAATATGTTTACAGAAGAGTTTAAAAACAAACTAAACAAACTAACTAACTAACTAACAACAACAACAAACAAGCAGACATGAGATCATTGGCTAACAGCTATGATCAAAGAGTTGACCTCAGTACAAAAGTGAGCCAGAAGACAAAACATGGTCCGTGCTTCCTTCAGATTAGCTCCTTCAGAAAAACAGGATATGAACTAGACAGAGAGAAAAAAAGAATACAGAAGAAAACAGAGCCTGGGGGGGAGGGAGGGTCTGTATATTTTGCATGTGGAGGTGGTCTTTCTGATGTGGGCCCTATTAGGAGAAACTGGCCAAAGGTGGGTGACCTAATGTGGTCGGTCCTGATTTTCTCAGCTTCATCATTTATTCTGGGTTGCCTCTAACCAACACAGTCTGTTCACTAATTCAGTCATACTACATTAGTTTTGTTGGTTGATGTCATATATGTTTCTCCTATCATACTATGTATACATAGTGAGCAAAGCCTCTGTCTTCATTTCCTCTACTTCTGGCACTTTGATAATGTGTCGTCTCATATAATTGGTTAATAAACTTGTTTTAATAAAGGAATAGACTTTTTTTTAATCGCTATGCTATTGCTACCAGTTCCTACAGTCGATGTGGCGGCGTTAGAATGGACAGAAGTTTTTTACACTAAAACCTTCAAGTCAGCTGGGGGAAAAGAATGTAATAAACATGATACAGCATAGTAGATGCACTAAAACATACATGCACACTGTCAAAGTAAAAGGGAGACGGAAGGACAGGATGAAAGGCAGGTGAGATATAAAGCAGAATTATTTACTTGCGTTCCTGAATTTATAATGTCCTAGCAGAGAGTGATGCTCAAGGCAGGAAGGATCTGCACAAATAGGAGGGAGTGGCACCGTGGAAGAGCGCTCAGGGCCTTTATGTGCCAATTCCCAGGCCCAGACAATTTATGCCTCACAGTAATGAAAAAGCCTAAGTTATGATTGCTCATTCTAACATCTGTGAGGACTCATGGGGGAAGAAATTAAATGATGATCAAAATAGGAATGAATTGTTTTTTTTAAAAATGCTAATTCTGGAAAACAATATTCTAAAAAGGATGATTTAAACAGATGGTCTCAGTAGAGGGGATAAATGAGAGCGTTGAATACTAAACTACTGACAGGGTTCCTGAGAGAGAAAACTAACAGAGTTCATGTTTCAAATGAGCTTTATGCAAAACCACACTATAGGAAAGCTAAAGGGTGAGGTGCACAGAGGCCTGGGTCCTCTGCTCTGCTGGCCCCTGTTCCTGCAACCCACACAGCACAGCTGGGAAGCCCAGGGCTGTTGTCTTGGGAATTCGTTGTTCTTGTGTAGTCCTAAGAACTCATCTGGAGGCTCTGAGAAAGTTCCACACACTGTTCACAGGAAACAATGCTATCTCTTTAGTGAGTGAGGTCGGACAGTGAACGCAGCTCTGCAAAAGGTAACCCTGCTTCTGTTGCACCTTCAGTGTGTCCAGGGACAAGACTGGCATCGTTTACGCCCATCAGTGACAGTGGCTCCTCCTGGCAAGGATTACTGGTGGGAACAGTGGGTACAGTTCCCCCATTCCTCCTAAGGATCACTGCTCTGACAGGATTTCCCAAACTGAGCTCAGCCTTGCAAAACACAGTTTTCAAATCAAGATCCGGATAAGGGCAGGAATGATTGTTAAAATACAACCAAACCCTGCCAATCCTTTATGTCCGGCAGTAAAGAGCACTCTATACCTGGAGATACTAAAACCTTGTATATCATGATGCATGTTTGATTTGAAAGAGTTGTTTTCTTGTTTATCTCTCCTTTTACTGTCTTCTTTGTTCCACTTATTTAATATGAACAGACCAAACAAGATTCCCCAAAGCTATTGCCATCTTCATGCGCATCTGCAGAAAGGACATATTTGAGTTGAGAGTGGATAATGCAGCATACTCCTGCACACTGGACGGATCTGTCCACTGGGACATCTGCTGTATGGGTACTCATAAACAGGATTGTATGGGGCGGGGAATCCAGGGCAACAACGTTCCTGCCCCAGAACCCTCGGTGGGAAGAACTGGGAACGTTGAACACTACAGAACGGAAACACATAGATGCCATAAACTACGTTCAGTATGTGCATGTCTACAAGCACTGTTTTTATATATTAGGAGTTCAGAAAATAAATACATCTTGTGTTCTACAGTGCAGATGTGGGGTGGAAGGTATGGGGTAGGGTAGTAGGTTTCTCTGTGGAAGAAAGAGCTCCCCCTTAAAGCTGTGAAGATGGAAGACACTATTTTAACGAAGTGATGTACTCTGGGTAACCAGAGTTAGATAATTTAGTTTGGCATGTACAA